TGAATAATCTTGTGAAAGATCTTCAAACCATGGTATTACAATAACTAATTTTTTTAAATTCATATGTTGAATAATATTAGTTGATTTATTATTTGATATTAATCTTGTAAATTTAAAAAAATATAAATTTGGACATGCTAATAAAATTGATCCATAAACAAGTATATCAATATCACCAATTTTTAATATACATAATGATAACATTTTTCTCCAAGATGAATATGTCCATGTTAAACTGATATTATGCATACAACAAATTTTTAAATAAGATAAATCATATGAAAATATTCTATTCCAGTAAAACGGTATAAAATCAGTTTCTCTTCGATTTGCTGAACGTATAACAAGATTTTCTAAATATGGCATATGAATTCTTTCAATTTGTTCTAGAAGTTCATCAGTTGATTGTATAAGAATAAGACGACGAATATTTGTAAAAGATTCTAAATTTAATTGTGCACGGCCTTCAATACAAAGAATATTAACATATGGTGCTATAAAATTGTAACGATAAATTTGATTACAATCTGTTGTTGTAAGTGAAAGATAATGATTATGAAGAGATTGAATTAGTGTATTTAAACGATAATTGAGATTATAAAAAGTTCGAAAAAGATCTTGAGTACTAATATATTCAAATATTTCAACAAGAATTTCATTTGGTAAATGTTCTAATCGAGAAAAATTATGGCTCATTTGTTTTAATCGAAATCTAAAAGCAAAAACAAAAGAAAAATATGTTAACTATTCTTTTTATGAATCATTAGTCACTTATTAATAAGTTAATATTGAAATCAATTATTATGATATTATGATGTATGTATAAATAAAAATTAAATTTTCGCATTAATCATGAACTTAAGAGAATTAGCAATGTTTCATGCAAATATAAATACGATGGTTAAAATGACTTTTCTAATCATACTAGTAGTAATTAATTTCGAATTATTGATCATAATGCAGTTAATTTTTTTCTAGCTTCTTAATAAATTTAATTTTCGATTAATCAAAAATGGTTGGTGCCAGTAATCGACTAGATCATCTATTTATCTGTTATATGGGAGTACATGTGCATGTTTTACATATCAATCTCAATGTCATGCTGTATTGTTTGTGATAAAATCATATATGTTTGAATGTAGATATGTGATCAATGAAAAAGAACTATATTTTTATTAAACATGCAACCATCAGAATGTAGATGAATCATAAAAATCTATAACATTCACCTCGAGCAAGACTTCATGTTTCATGCATGTCTTTTTAACACTTTAACTACGACGAGTATTTCAATGAACTGCGATATAAACTTAAGAAAATTTAAATTAAGATATATTTGTTAGAATAGATTTCATTAGTAAATAAATTTATATTTCCAACCTGTGAAATTTGTAGCGACAGCATTTTAATATACTGTTTCTGTATACTCATTTGACATTTCTTCTAGTAAATGAAAAGATTTTCATTATGTTAAGTATTAATGAAATCTAATGAATTTTTTTACCCGATGACTATATAAGACAAAGTTATATTAAAACTCATCATCTTCGCAAATAATTCGAAAACATGTATGAAAATAATGTTCTATTTTCATAAAAAATGAACAGAATTCTATAGAATTTGTCTGAGTACCTGCGTAATTTTGTTTTCTTAATACTGAGATGTGAAAAGATAATCGCATTAATTGCGTCTTGAGCTATAGGTGTGAAACATATGCTAAAATTAAAATTACATCAAAGCGAAACACTATTTTTATGGATTTTTTTCGATCTTTTGCGAAGATCAACTCTTGCGATTGTCTAGTAAATGAACTTATACTCATCCATCTTTAATCCTGGTGTAAACATTAGGATATCAGCATGACGTTAGTGTGACAATTTATCATTTACCAGTGCTATACTAAGGCAACGAAAATTTGAAAAACGTGCTGTTTCGAAATTTCATTGACTCCTGTTGTATTCCTACCAGATACGATGATTATCAAGCGTCTATTCGATCGGTACCAATGAAATTGGTTTGTTTCCGAAGATCGAAGTAATAGAAGAAATATAATGATACCGTATGCACTGTAATATTCATCAATGGACAACGTATTAATAGTCTTCAGATAAGAATTTCATTCGATAACAATACAAATCGAAATAGATTAATACTGTTCTTTTTATTTGGAATTTATCTAAAAAAAAAACAAACAAAGTCAAAATTACAATTGCATTCTCGTTTACATAAAAAACAAAAAAATTCATTAACATGTTAAATTTAAATGAAATTTTGATTGATATCGATCATTATGACTAGATTTAAAATTTCTTTTCATTTCATCAAAAGTATTTATAACTTGTGTATCAATTCCAATAAGATACCAAACTTTAAAATAATAATCAAATCGACGAAGTAATGATAAATAATTCGTAATTGATGATGCATGCCAATCCGTTGTTAAATAATGTAGAATATTTACTTTAAAAAAATCTTGATAAATACTAAGTCGTTCAAGATTAGATACATATGACAGACAAGTATTAATCATTGAATCATATTTTAGTAGATTAATATCTTCAAATTTTATTGTCATTTGTTTGAGATTAACATGTGGTTTATCAACAATGGATGTTTCACTCGATTCTAATTGAAATTTGAAAATATTCAAATTAGGACATTTGGATAGAATAGTTACATAGGTAGATAAATTAATGATACCAACTTTCAAGTTGCATAGAACAGAAAGACATACGAACCATTCTTTTACGATTATTTTACTCTTGTGACATACATAACAAGATTTTAAATGAGGAAAAGTATTAGTAAAAATTTTGTCATAAAATATATCTGGAGAGTGACAATTTAATTGTTTAATAAATAAATATTCTATACAAGGTAGAATAGAAGTTTTGAGTTGTACAAGTAATTCATCTGTCAATGATATAAGTTTTAAACGACGAATATATGTAAAATGATTAAAATTAATATTGATTCGACAATTAATACTAAGAACATCGATATAAGAAATAAAATTATTCATTTTAATATAATTGTCATCCCAAAGATAATAAACAAGATTATTCAAAGTTCGAAGAAGTTTATTAAAACGAAAATTAAGATTATCAAATGCTTGAAAAAGTTTTTCTATATCAAGATATTGAAATATTTCAATTAATGTTTCATTTGGTAACATTTCTAATTGAGAACGTCTGTTATTCATTATTTAATATTTATCTAAAAAGAAGAAAATCAATGTTCTTATTTGAAAATTTGTGCAATCAAAAAATCGAACTTCAAAACTCAGTTTTCTCGTTGTTCATTTAATGCTATAGAAACTAGACAAGTATGGGTCAAAGCCTTACTACATACTGCTAGTAGGATACTTTTTTCCAGAGCTTTGATGAAAAGTATTCTAGTACACGCGTACCTTGAACTCGATATATTTACAAGAATAGTAGCATTGTATAATATTTATCCCGTTCGTTTTCTTCTGTCTGTAATCAATAAATTTCAGTTGAAAGCACAAATACGTAAGATTATGTTAAACATGAAGAGTGACTGTACTCCAATGTGAATTTTTTTTTTTGAAAGATCATGATATGTTTTATAGTATGAAAAAATGAATCCGATAAATAATTTAAAAAAAAGTAAGATTCGATATTTTCTTCTGCAAGATAACAATTTAATAGAACCTCATCGTTTACTAAAATCAAAGATCTTTAACAAAAAGTATGGCAGATAAGTCTCTTTCCACTACAACTTCAGAAAGTCTCAACATACACTATTATATATCTGACTAAGCTCAGAGACACTAATATTAATTATTTACTAATGTTATAAATAGACCAGTTTACATTTTTTTTATGCTGATCATATGGTGATTGCAGTAAACTAATGTATTACTACTCATCATTACTCTAGACAGTTTGAATATAAAATTTTTATCTGTCCAAAAATCAAAACTATCCTATTTAGAACACTTACAGACGCATTCCAATCATTATAATTTAGAGGAATACCATGAAACGTTCTAGAATAGACTAGTCTTTTTGTTAATATCTTTCCGTGTCCTTTTCCATCGTTAATGAAGTCTGAGAAAAAGTGTCAGACGCGTGTTCTTCTTGACTGCTATGAAAACGTACCCAATGATCCTTGACGTCTCTTCTGGTACTGCTAATATAAAAAGAGGAAGGAAACCAGAAAAACCTTGACTTAAAATTTCCATTCACTATATTTTTCTTCGAAAAATATTATGTAAGCTTGACAAAACCATCTCATGGCCACCAAATTTTGTATAAAAACGTCGTGTTGACATAAATGAAATAGATCCTAAATAAGATCATTCAATCATTATTTGGTGACATTTGGAATTAAAGAGAATTAGAAGGCGGACAGCAATATATATATCGAGATAAAATAAAAACAGAAAAATATAATTATATATCACTAATGTAAAAAATACGTGAAGGATAAATAATTCATCATAATTATAATCTTTTAATAGCCATAGAAACATAGACAATGTTGAATAAGAAGTAGACGAAAACAATTATAGCAATAATTAAAATAATAAAAACTCTACGATGTTCAAGCACGAATATATTTAAATATATAGCAAATAATAATTCATTAGTTAAATCTTCTTATCTAATTAAAGCATTCATTATTTACAATAAAACAAAAAATTTATATCTACAAAACTAAAAAGAAAATTTTATTTTCTATTAAGAATATATAAGAATAATAAGAATTCTGTAAAAAAAAAGAAAAAGCTTGTTTACTATAAATAAAAAATTCAGATGTATAAATCATAAACCCCACATAGCACAAGGAAGATCTAAAAAAAACCCTATCTAACTAAAAACTATACAAAAAAAAAACAGTTTTGATTTGTTTCCATAAAAAAATATATATATATTCACAGCACACAAAAAAAATGTACTAAATATGTCATATATCTTCATTCTAGTAATAAATAAATTCACAAACAAAAAGAAAAAAATAAAAGATTTCATTTCTTATTTATTATTCTTGATTTTTTTTGATGTATATAAACAAAAACAATCTTCTCTTAATGTACATTGAATACCAGAATAACATGGATGAATATTTCTTATTATATTAATATCAATATTTTCATCTTTATTTGGAAATTCAATAATATGACAATCAAAATTTTTTAAATCAATTAAATATATTGATATTAATTTTATTAAATCAATAAATGATCTTGTACATAATCTTAAATCTATACATTTTATATTTGGGATTAAATATATTATATTTGTAATATCATAAACATATGTTGAATTTTGAGATTGTAAAAAAATTAATTTTTTTAATGGATGATTTAATATTACTGGTAAAGAAGATACATCTAAAGGATTTTCATCTGTAATACGTACTTGAAAATGAATTAATTGAGTACATGATTGAAGAATTAAAGGAATTATATTTATATTAGGAGAAAAAATACGAATTGAGCGAAGAGATGGTGATTGTGACCATGTTAAATTACTTGGCATATCAATTATACCTAGATCAGCAAAACGAAGAGATGTGAATCGATTTGAGAAGACTTCAGATGCTAATTGTATTGTGGATTTTTTATCAAATGAAAGAGGTAATGCAAGATAAACAAGATTCGGTAAAATATTAGATTGAATTTGTTTTAAATGATTTTCAGTTGCTAAATTTAATATTAATGAACGTAAATTAATAAATGAATATAAATTAATATTTTCTAATGTAACAATAACAATACGAGTAATTTGTTCATATAATAACATATTTTCATATGTTTGATTTTTTGTTAAAATTAAAGATAAATATCTAAGTGAACGAATAAGTTGATTAAAACGTTGATTTAAATTCCAAAAACCACATGATAAATCACAAATTTTTGTATAACCAAATATTTCTATTATTAATTCATTTGGTAAATCTTCTAATAAAGTAAGCATATCTAGAAAATAAAAATATATTATGTATTATATTGTTTTATTTTAAGATAATATTCAGATTGATTTTTATAAATTTTCGAAAATTTTTCTTTTATTTGAGGAATATTTTGATCAATATCTATTTGATCTATATCAAGTAAATTAAAAATATAAATATAATAAGTAAATTGTTTTAATAATGGTAAATAATGACTTATAATTGTTGATAACCAATCATAATTAAGAAGTAAATCAATTGAATTTATTATAGAAAATAATTTATGTAAAGATAATCGTTCAATATTTGGCATTGATGAAAAAAGTATTTCAAAATTTTTTTCATTTTCAAACCAAACAATACTCGTTAAAATTAATTTCATTCGTTTAAGATTAAAATAAATATTGAAATTTTTCGATATATTACATAATGTTGGTAATACTAAATTTAAATAATATAAATTTGGACATGCATTTAATATATTTGGAGATATAGATGTTATATTTAAATATTGAATATTTAATGATTGATTCCATATAATTGTATCAATTGGTAATTCTTGTCCAGATAAAAGACAAGATTTTAATAATGGAAAACCATTAGAAAATATTATTTGATATAATGAATAAATTGAAGGTTTTACAAGTGAATATGATATAGAAAGATATTCAAGATATGGAAAAGATTTAGAATTTATTTGAAAAATTTGTTCATCAGTTGGAAACCATATTATAAAACGATGAACATTAAAAAATTGATTAAATTTTATATTTTGTTTTGTATAAATATTAAGTGTATAAATATGAGATGAAAATATGATATTATAATTAATTATATTATTAAAAGATGATTGATAATAAAGAGAAAGATGTGATAAAGATTGAACAAGAGAATTAAAACGAGAATTAAGATTATAAAAAGTATTATAAAGTTCTTGACCATCGAAATATTGATATAAATCCATAAGAATTTCATTTGGTAATGATTCCATATTAGATAAATAATTATTTTTATTCATTTAAAAATATTAACAATTATTTGTTATGATAATAAATTGTATAAAAATCTTTTCAATCATAATTAATTATCATCTCAACTTATTACTTAGAAATTGCTTGGGAAATATTAATAGAACCATTTGTGTCAAAATGAATTTAGTAAAATACGTCAACAGAGAATGAAGAATAGATAATAAAGACTATGCATCTTCTTACGCCTATATCTACATAACAAAAAAAGAAAGTTATTGAGTAGAAAATATAAAGTTAGAGTAATCTTATTGATACAAATAATATTTGAGTAATGTAATGGAAAATAGGTTTTAGAGTATGAAAAAAGAAGTGCAAGTAATACTTAAATATAAATTATTCAAGAATAAAGTAAAATATTATTAAGCATCAATTTTTTTTTTTTCTTATTCACTTTACTGATCAATTTTTCTTCTACATAAAATGTAATCAATCAAACCCTACCACATGATTTAGGGTTGAGTTATTGATACTCGTCTACTCATGATACTAGAGTATGACTCATTATATTTCGAATATATATTTTTATTGCATAAACATTGTGACCATTGAAAATATGTAAAATATTCTTTACGATTCAATTTATTCTTTCATTATTTTCTCATCGAAAAATGTAGTGAAAAACTATCATAATCGACAGAACTGTTTCTTTATAGATGTCGCTATACATCATTTTTCGCTTTCGTCTTGCAATTATCACTGATTTATATATATTTCTATGTGTTATTCGACGCAGAGTAACAATAAGACATTTACGCCGTGCCTTCATTGTAACAAGGTTTCTATTTTAAGCTATATACTTGACCAAACGTTTTCTAACTGCTATTCTTTCATTTCGTCCCACGGAACAATGTAGAAAAAAACCAATGCCTCGAATATTGTTAACATTTAAAATCTTTTATCTTGTAACAGATATCTTAATCTTTAAATAAAAGATAGAAAAAAAAATGACTAGACTGTCTCTCAAGCAAAGTCCGAATTAAAAAAATCAATGATCTTTTACAGAGATTAAATCATATAAGGACATTCTCCGTTGTTAATTATCATGTTTCCGCATTTTTATAGCTTCCGAAAAAGTAACTAAGCGAATGAAAAGCAATAACTCGACTACCGTATCTTGTGCAGTCAGTCAACGGGATTCAGAGTAGAAACAAAATTTGTTCTACATAATTCTATGCGAAACATGTATCTTTCAAAAATTTCAGTCCAAATCTTTAACAAAAAAGCATATTCTCATAGAGCTACGCATTTATTTTGAACTATTGATTGTAAACGCGTGAAATACTGAATGTTTAATATAAACTATACAAATATACTCATGTTTGAATGCAATAAAAACATGATTTAAGTTGACACCTATAAATAAGATATGAACTTCATTCATTCATAATCAGACTGTCTAGTAGATGAAGAAACATGTAGATATGATGTTGATTAAAGAAAATATATAATATATTATAAGAAAGAACGGTCAAGGAAAGAAAATAATCAACAGAAATATTACAAAAACGAGAAAAACATATGTCACAATAATGACGGATGTAAACTTGCTTCATTTAATATATATCAATGCTAAAATATCTTTTCCAGATGATTATTACATGAACATTCATAAACTTGATGTTTTCTATACCAACAATAACAACTATCAACTAATTAGAATAGTAACTATGTTAATAAAAGAAAAAGATAATTAAACGTCTTCTTCTGTGAGACATCAGTCTCAAAATAATTTATTGATGTTTATTACTCTGGCAATGAAGAAAAAAGGGGAAAAAAATAGGGTTTGCTGATATAGTAAACTCGACACAAATAGATGTACAAGTTACTGTAAAATAAAATCAGTGTTAAAATAGATAAACAATACATATTATTCATTGATAACATGTTTACATAGATTGATGTTAATGATTACCATTCCACTATTGTTGGAACATCATCAACCACAACTTCTTCAGTTTCGAATACCCTGCTTTCTATAGTTTCACTTTCATTTTCAACATTGTTCTTTCCCGTTTTTGTATCAGTACCGCAACAGGGTTGTGAATCACTACTTGAGTCGGAGATCTTATTTGCTGAAGTTTGATTGTCTTTCACAGGTACACTCTTCTGAGCGGTTTGAGTAGAATTAGATTGAACAGGAAGAATTTGAGGAGGTTGTTTTTTGTCTTTTCCACGTGTTAAAATTACTTTATTTAATAATGAAGGATTATTTCCATTATTATTAGCAGTTCCTTGAATACTGTCAGCTTTAACAGTTATAAATAAAAGACATACGATAGCAAAAAACAAAATAATTGATCGGCGCATCTCTCACTTGAATTCTATTTGAATAAAAAAATAAATAAATCAACTTAAATACTTCTATATATTTTTTTCAAAATACTCTTAGATAAATACATTCGAAAACAATAGAACAGCTGTGACATGTGTGGTGAATAATGTTTCTTGTGATGCGTACTTCAATACACACTTTTTCTATACTATATCTATCAATATACTTTTGTATGTATTATGCTTAACAAATCTGAACATAATTAAATGGAATTCATTTTTATGTTTGATTCATATTTAAATTATCTTTTGTGAATAGTAAAATATCTAACGAAAAATTTCAATAAGGAAAAAAAAATAGCTACTACTATCAGATAGATAAGTGTATACTTCAGTATTGTTTTTTTCTTCGAGATACAAGAGAAAAAGAATATTCTGAGGGACATTATGGCACAAAGTTTGGTTTTTAGAGAAGATTCTTGTAATTTAGGTGTAGCTTGTGCTATATATTAATAAGACCATTTCCGTTCATTGATTTCATACAATTCATGAAGTAAACAAGAGCATAGAAAAAAAAAATTACAATAGAAATACACGTCATTTCATATAACTTCAGATAAAGTAGAATACGATGAAGATGAAGGATATTTACTATGATAAATGAGAAAAAAACAATGTCATATGTATACTATAAATATGACATCTTTATCCAAAAGAAAAAGACATAAATCATATTAATCTATTGTAATCAACAATGCTTCATTTAACAACAATACTAAGAAACATAGTATCCAAATTAAAATTACCACTGAAAAATGAGAAATAAAATTATGTTTCAAGAATACGGTGACTCTAAGATAATAATTGTATAAAAAAAGAATTGAATCTAGAAATAATGAATGAAATACTAAAGTCGTCACTTGATCAAAATGTGACTCTTGAATCCGTTGCAAATAGATACTTCTAAAAAGATATGTCGAAGAATACTGATTAAAATGTTCTTTTCATTGCAGCTGATGCCAAGAACAGAATAAGTAATCGAGAGTATTGCTAGTTAAAATATATCATTCTTTTTATTATTTATTGCGTCTAACAACAAAAAGAAATCGATTATGAAGTGTATCATATGATAAAGAAAATCAAAATTACATATGAATATACGAGAAGCTATGCAGTTTTATGCTTCATAGCATTGTATACTATGATTTTTTATGAATACATATTACTTGTTCATTCAAATATTTTTTGATTTTGATTAACAATTATTTATTTTATACTATCATCAATAATTTTTAAGAAAATATCATGTTTCATTTTTCTATCCAAATAATATTCATTATAGTTTCAAAACAATTTCAAAATTTATCATTCTTACATACTACAGGAACTAACTTTTTCGAATTTAGACAAATTATTAAATGAACATATATGACAAAATTGTTGTGTCTTACTGAGAGAGACCTTTTGAAACGAAACAAGAAGTAAAATAATTGTTAACACCTATCATATTTTTAATAGAGCGGTGTGTTACAATTAAAGACTACGGTAATGAATCTAACATGATCCGATCATTTTGAAAATTCAACATTAATTAAGTTATTCAAAAAGAAAAAAAAAACATTAGTCTACACCATCGGATAAATAATATTCACATAGTATCCATACTACAATTATTATCCTCTTTTGAATATGTTGAAAAACAAATTTCTTCTCTTTATAAT